GCATCCGTGGGTCCAGGAATCAAGGGGTGGAAAAGGGAATGGTTCCGCTCACTATCACCCTTATTGATCAACTGAGAAAAATTTTGCTTCCCTGTTCCTGTGACCATAAGTTCTGCTAGCCTAGAAATTTTGTTTCCACAAGGGGGTGCTCTCCTACCAGAAGACACAGCAAACATGCCCTCTACCTGGAAGCCGTACTTGTCCCGGGCCACTTTGGGCTTCTGATATCCTTTAAGCCAACAGGCTGAGAAATGAGTAAAAGTTTTAGAAGGAGTGATTGATTCAGATTACCATGGGGAAATTGAATTGCTTCTCCACAGTGGAGGTAAAAAAAAAAAAAAAAAAACTGTTTCTGGAGGGTAGGAGATCCTTTAGACCAGTGCTTCTCAACTTCCTAATGCTGAGACACTGTAACACAATTCCTCATGTTGTGGTGACCCCTAACCATAAAATTATTTTCATTGCTATTTCATAATGGTAATTTTGCTACTGTTATGAATCATAATGTAAACATCTGTGTTTTCCAGTGGCCTTAGGCAACCCCGGTGAGGGTCATTCAACCCCCAAAGGGGTCACAACCTACAGGTTGAGAACAGCTGCTTGGTGCTACAATGTCATGTGATTGAAGTCAATGGGAAACTACAAAAGCCCCAAACCCAGCAGGATGATAAAGGGCTCAGATCCTTCAGGAATGAAGGTCTGGGTCACTGTTCCAGGAAAAGAGGTGCTTGCTGAGGGTGGAGGAAATACAGAATAGACAGAAAAAGACAGTTATAAGTAGCCTAAGGTCATGTGACCAGTTGCAGAAATGAGAATTATACATAAGTGCTTCTGTATTTTGTTTGTGCATGTGTGTGTGTATACTTGCCTCAATTTCTTTGTCCTATAACATCAACTGAGATAATACCAGTAGTTATCATACTTAAGCTATGAGACACTAAAAGAATGTTCAAGGGACATTGCCACTTATTCTAAATATATAATTCGGTTTTGGTTGTATGTGGGATAGTTATAGCATGTTAGGTATAACATGACCTTGTTATCATTTTCATTTAGAAATTAAGCATGATGTAAGGAAACATGATGGTGTGTCAAGTTTACAAGGAGTGGAATTGTGATGCCTAATCTTGGTTGTCAACTTACTACATCTGAAATCAATGAAATCCTGTGCAGCTGGGAACACCTCTGAGAGATCCTAAATCTGGGTCACGCCTTCTGGAGATTGCCTGTTATAAAAGGACATGGGGAAGGAAACTTGTTCTCTGCATGCTTACCCTCACTCTCACTGGCAAGTGCATCTATCCTGCTGCATGCCATCCCTTCACTGGTATTAGAAGCTACTTCTTTGGGATTCCAACCAGAGGCTAAAGACTAGCTGAGACATCCAGCCTTGTGGACTGAACAACTATTGTATCAGGGCTCCAGACATTAGTAGGCCCCAGACCTTACCACAACTAAGTACCATTCAGGCTGTAAAACTCAGCATATAGACAGCACCACCAGCCAAAGCTAAAACAAAGCCCTGGTCATCAAAGTCCATATAGTTCTGGGAAAGTCTCTAAACAAACTAACCTTGGTTTTTTACTTCTACAGTTCCACTTCTGGCTAACTGTTCTTGTTAGCTTAAGTATGTCAACCCAGAACATGGGTTTTTCTTTTTTTGTGCTTAAAAGCTAGTCGGGCCAGGTGTTGGTGGTGCATGCCTTTAATCCCAGCACTTGGGAGGCAGAGTCAGGTGGATCTCTGTGAGTTGGAGGCCAGCCTGGTCTACAAAGCAAGTTCCAGGACAACCTCCAAAGCAACACAGAGAAACGCTGTCTCAAACAAACAAACAAACAAACAAGACTTTCAATTGACTTAAACCCAAGTCTGAGCAAGTCTTCTCTGGTGAATACCCCACATCACTATCAGATTCTTGGCATTTCCATAGGGAGTCGGTCATTGTTGGACAAGATGGACCAAGATCTGTAAGCGACGCTGATAAAACCCCTTGCAATATTCATTCTATCAGTTCAGTTTCTCTAGAAAATCCTGACTAATACAGTCCCATTCCTTCCTAGGGCATCCATGTGGCTGAGCATCCAGAAGCGACAGCCTTTTGTGTGAAGAAGCTGCAGTGATTGGCCAGCAGGGACTGAAGAATCAGTTCTGATTAACAAGAGACCAGAACCACTAAAGTGAAACCTTCCCACAAATTGCTGGGACAATTGGTGCTGGTTGTCTAGAGATTAATGGTGATTAAGAAGAGACCAATGTCACTGAGGTGAGATCTTCTGGGAAATGTTTCCTCAGAGTTAGCACACAGAAGCTGTGTGCCAGAGATGGCCAAGGTTGTACCTTGTGCTGGCAGCCAAACTTGGTCTTGTGTAAGAGTCACCCAAATGCTACTGGTTTTGAAGGCCTGAAGAGGTCATGGAGAGTAGCTGAAGCTTGACACTGAAAAACCAGGAGAGGCCACTGGTGAAGGTGCAGCTGGAGTATTCATGGAAGCCTCAGGATTGATGGGCCATGGAGAAAGTTCAGGCTTGGCACCATGAAGAGAGCTCAGGAGAGGCTATTGGTGAAAATACAGCCCAGTCAAGGCAGAAGACCCAAGCATTTTGGAGATGCCAGTACCATTCGAGGACCACCAAGAACAGCAGCCGTGGAGTGGAGCCAGCTGAAGCCTAGAAGAGAAGCTGTGTGTGTCGCAGAGGGCAGAGCTGAAGACGTGACCCAATCCCTTTGGAGGAGTTCATGAGTGGATCCCAGACACTGGATACTGAATTTCTAAAGTTGGAGTTTTGTTTTGCATTGTTCAGATTGTGACTATGCCCTGGTTGTTCCTTCTTGAAGATATATTCCTACAGTTGAGACTTTGGATTTTTTAAATGTTTGAAATTGTAAGGCAGTTGGGCTTTTAAGTGATCTGGGGGATGAAGAAGAAAGGTTGTGGCTTAACAGTGATTTGTGTTAAGTTGACAAAGGGTCAATTGTGGTAGCTAGTTTAATGTCAACTTGACACAAGATAGAGTTATATAAAAGGAGGGAACCTCAACTGAGAAGATGCCTCTTAAGATCTGCTTGTAGGACATTTTCTTAATTAGTGATTGATGGGGGAAGGGCCCAGCCTGCTGTGGGTGGTGCCTGCCATCCCTGTGCTGATGGTCCTGGGTTCTATAAGGAAGCAGGCCGAGCAAGTCATGGAGAGCAAGCCAGTAAGCAGCACCCCTTCATAGCCTCTGCATCCAGGTTCCTGCCCTGTTTGCATTCCTGTACTAACTTCCTTCAGTGATGGACTATGATGTGGAAGTGTAAGCCAAATAAACCCTTTCCTCCCCAACTTGCTGTTTGGTCATGGTGTTTTATCATAGCCATAGTGACTCTAAGACAGCAGGGTTTTCTGTCATTGGCAGGAAAGACTCTGGATAGCAATGAACTGCATTGCTTTCTGTTCCCTGAACTATAATCACAATATTTTCCAGGCAGGGCTGAGTGACCCTCATTTGTTGCTATGACCTCTGATTTGGCAAAAGCTCAGGCACCTAGTAGGTGCATGACCCCAACCTATCACTGAGGGTCACGAGCAAAAGGGAGTTCTTTCAGTGCCACAGCTGGAGGCTGCAAGGCTCTAGACTGGCCAGGTCACTAAGTGGAGACTTGGCAGCAAGAGGATCATGGGAGAGCAGGTCCTGTGGCTGACAGGAAAGAGAGAGCCACATCTAGTCACTGGGAGTCACAAGGAAATAATTCATCCATCTCACTTTGTCACATTGTTTCCTGGACCTGTATAGATGGTTTTGCTGGGGAGTGAGATCTTATGTCAAAATAACAAAGGGTCTCTGGAGCAAGCACAGAGCCCACATTCCGGGGACTGGCTTTCTTCCAGGCCCCCTGGTCAAGGCATTACAAGACACTGCCCTGCTTGAGTCACAGAGTTCCAGGATTAAGTGGCAAAACAACCACGTTTCCAGTAAGACACTGGCAGGGCCTCCAGCCAGCCCAAGGGATAACAATGGGGTATTACCATGGAAAGCTACCTATGGCCAAGTTAAGAGGAGCTCAGGACAGGCAGTGGATTCCTGGGATGTCCTTCTCCAGACTGGGTGATGGATGCCTTGGACCTCTCTACCTAGCCTGGGTGACAGAGCTGAGCTCTTAAGACTAAGAGATGGGAAATGGAATTCCTGGCCAGCTCTGAAACCAGGGATGGCACCCTTGTTCTTTTCTCTACCTAGCCCAGTCTCTGGGCAGTCAGAAGATCACCTGCCGTGGATGCTGAAAGGTGTAGTACGAAGGCCCAGAAACAAACTGGGGTCCAGTTTTTTATATTTTTAGACAGGGCTTTGCTATATAACCCTGACTTGTTTAGACTATGTAGCCCAGGCTGGTCTTGAACCCACAGCAATACTCCTGCTTCAACCTAAGTGCTGAGAAAGCAGATGTCACCACACCCATCTCAAATTTGGGTTTTGAGAATGCAACTGGTCTTCAGAACAGCAATACTCCTGCTTCAACCTAAGTGCTGAGAAAGCAGATGTCACCACCCCCATCTCAAATTTGGGTTTTGAGAATTAAACTGGTCTTCAAGGGTACTGTTTCTAAAACTCTCAAGAGGAGGGTTGGGAGGCAGCTGGTTCAAGTGTTACCTCCAAGGATTCAGCCCAAAGGGAAGAAATGCTGAGGCTGTGACAGCAGTTTCTAGGTTTTATGGAAACTTGGCCTTGGAGAAAGAGTTGAGAAGGGCCCCTATGCCTGACTCAGGGTTAGGAGAACATGTTACTGGGGTGAATCCCAGTAATTGGGGGAAGAGGTTGAGGAAAGCGGAGCCTCCATCAGACTGCCAGCTATGCCATCATCCAGACCATTTTTCCTTTGCTCCCATGTGAGGCACACAAAGGAGAGTCACACCCACCTCTGTCCTGTTTATCAGTGTGTGGGACCCCCAGATGCTTACAACACAGGCAGATGGCACACTAGATGACCCTGAGGCCGGTGTTACAAAAGGCCACAGCACAGGCTATATGTGAATAGCATTTATTTCTCATATGGTCAACAAATGTTCAAGCCTACTGACTCCTCTCTAGGCCGTGAATGGGATCTAGATACACCAGAGAAAGAGATCACACCACTAACCATAGGCAGGGTTACTGTTGGCCTCCAAAAGAGCCTGGTGGCCACTGAAAGCCAGGAGGTGAGAACAAACAAGGTGCTATGTTAGAGGTGGAAGGGCACATGCCTGCCAGGGGAACCCCTGTCACCTGTCCCTGGCATTCCTTACCTTGCAAAGGCTGCAGATCCTGGACCAGGACACCCCAGTGCCTTAGAGACCACCCCTATTGTAAGCAGTGAGAGGGAGTGACATGGGCCACCACCTGAGGTCAGGCCAAAGTTGCCCAGGAGCAAATGCCTTTCTCCCAGCCCTGCCCCAAGATCAGGTTAAGGCCTTGCTGAGCCAGGAAAAGGGGAGTGTGTCAAGAAGTTGTCCTGACCAGACAGTCCATTGGGATCCTCCAGGAAGTGCCAGGAACTAAAGCACAGCCCTCAGCAGGCTGTTTGCCGTCCAGTCATGAGCTTCAAGCCCCACACTGGACCAGGAGAGAGTCATAGCACAGCCCTCAGCGGGGCCGCTTGCTATCCAGGATGGCCTTCCAGTCATCTGCCCACGAGTGGAGTCTCCGGCGAGGGGGCTTCAGCTGCAGGTGATGATTGTGGCAGGAGATGAACAGGATGTGCTCCCAGCTGGGGTGTGGCTCAGCCCCTGTGGAGGGAAGCAGCACCTCAGTCCAAAGACTGGGGCCCAGGTGTAGCTTCTGGAATCAAACCATAAACCCCATAGCAAGTGGCCTCACATGACTCAGTTTCTCTGTCTGCAAAGTGATGCTCCATTAGCCTGCCCTACAGAAGGCATGAGGGTAAAACAAGGCACAGTGCACAGGATACTCTATGCAACACACAGGAAGCAATCCACATGGTGGTGGCTGAAGGGGCTCTGTCATCCACCTGGTTGGCCTGGCCAGCCATCTCTGTGCCCATCATGTGCTACCTCAAGTGGGAAGCTCAGGCCTGCATGCCCTGTAGTTACTGGTACCAATCTCCTTCCACACTGTTGGGGTTGTGACATACTAGCTCCTGTGGCTGAAGCCCCATGGGTGATGTTACCCTAAGCCTCTGGAAGATTTTGGGTTTTCAGAGAGGCTGTCTCCATCCACACAGACAATGGATGGACCTTTGGAGGGACTGGGGTAGATAGGCATGTTTCCCTGGCATTCAGCAAGAAACTGTTTGCCTACCAGTGTGTCCAGAACAAACTGTTACCTGCAACTCCTAGGAACTACCAGGAGGGCTGAAGAGATGGCTCAGAGGTTAAGAGCACTGGCTGCTCTTCCAGAGGTCCTGAGTTCAATTCCCAGCAACCACATGGTGGCTCATAACCATCCATTATGAGATCTGGTGCCCTCTTCTGGTGTGCAGATATACATGGAAGCAGAATGTTGTATACATAATAAATAAATAAATTCTTTAAAAAAAAAAAAAAAAAGAACTACCAGGAAGAAACAGACTGCCCACAATGTGGCAAAACCAGGCAGAGAACATCCAAGAGTCAGGAAACAGTGTGGGCTGGCTAACAGAACTCCCAAATTCCACCATGCCTGAAGCCCTGCCTCCACCCTACCTTGTCAGTTAAGTGAGCCAAGTGTTCGGTTTGCTTTTTTTTCTGAGAAGGGGTCATTAGCTGGAACCAAAAAAAAAGGACAGATGCAATGCCCAAGCCACTGTCAGCTTAGACACTATACTGTGATTTCCTGTTATATAGTAGACTTATCCCGCACTACCATTGAGGGGGAAGAGAGGGCAGGAAGTTACTAAATATAAAGGTTTGAAAATCAAAGATGGGTTCTTCACTCAGGAAAGCCAGCAGGTTAAAGTCAATCTGGGTAAGGCACAGACATTCTGGCTTCCAGTAGTGCCCTGTCCCTAGGATGCAGGTAGGCCTTTGCAACAGGAGGAAGCCCCTGGCTGGGAGCCGGTAAACACCTGGCAAAGATGGGAAGTGAGCTGAGGAGACCCCAGGAGGAGATGTGTGGGAGAAGAGAGAACACAACTAGGGCTACCCCCCCCCCCCCTGCTACCCACATCCCTGCCACAGGCTACTTGCCTGTGATGTCCGGCCGGTCATCTATGAGAAGGTCGGCAGAGACCACAGTCTTGTCTCTGGTCAACACAATTTGCTCCAGAAAGTCAGGGCCAAAGTGCTTCTCCACCCAAGCATACTGGAGGTAACAGAGGAGAAGATGACATCAGACAGTGCTGAGGGATGGCTCAGTGCAGAGCCCCAGCTACAGAAGGGAAGAAGTCTAATATAAAGGGCCAGTTCAGGCAGCTCTGTGCCCAGGAATTTGTCACTTGGGAGCTGTGTACCTGCATACTCCTCAGACTACAGAAGGGTCACAACTCAGCCCCAGGCCTGACATCCCCAGAGCTACACAGAATGCTCTCAGCACTCTATCAAAGGTTAGTCACACTGGCTGCCACTGTGTCCTGGGGCTCCGTGACTCCCTAGTGACTTCCTAAGGTGGCCAACTCACAGAGAAATAACCAGTAGATCTGCCCAATGTCCCTGCTGGGAACTTCAAGCAGAGACAGGTATTCAAATCATGTGTGATATGATACTGGGCAAAAAAAGCAGTAGCCTGGGAAAGAGGAGACTTACAAGGAGCTTGATTGTCACACCAGTGCAAAGGGGCGCTGCAGACAGCTGGCATCCCAGGCACATAGAAAGAATACAGTTGTCTGCAAGACTGACAGGCAGGAAGCTCAACTATCAGAACACAGTAACAGCTACCATTGACAGAATGTGCAATCTGGGAGGCCACACTTCCCGTCACCACTGTGGGGGCTCAGGACTGCCTCCTCTCCCTTTCCTAGGACACTTTTGAAACTGGGAAAACAGCCTACCCTCCTTCACCACCCTAGTGAGGCTGGCAGCAGATATGGCCTGACCAGCCACTGGGTCTGGTTCCATTGGGAGAACCAGGAGAGGGATGGGTGGCCCTGTGTTGGGTCCCAGCCCTCACGGAGTCTGTGAGTTGCTTGTCAGCCAATAACCACAGGTGCAGCCTGTTTTCTAGACCTGGCTTACAGTCCCAGCCTTGCCCCACTGGCATCAACATCTAGTTGTGAAAACCCGAGCTCTTACTCCTGGGGTTTTTCCACTGTGCTGTAAGTCTGTATTTAAGGCTGCTCCCTCCCTGCAACAAAGAGACAGAGACATACACATTCTCTTAGCACAAACAACCAGACATTTTGTCTTTCATTTAAATCTCCAGGCTTTCGCCCAATACATTAGACTTGTTCATTGCACAGGCGCCACAGCCCTGGGCCTGAGGTTCACAGTTGTGCCACTCCGGCCAGTGTGTAGCTGCATCTAGCCATCTGGCTACCCTTCTACATCCTCCCTAATCTGCTCACAGACGAAGACAGGTATGGACTTTAGTCAGGGCAGCTTCCAGCAGAAGGGAACAGAAACCTCTGCCCGGATTCCTCTAGCCCCACCTGGAAAACTAACAGCAGCCAGGAGCTAGAAGATGGTTGCAAGTGTGCCACTGGCTCATATAGAATGACCTGCCAAGGGAAAGGCTGTGTAGTCACCTGCAGCAAAGCCTCAGACGGTTCCTTTTCGTCCCAGCTGTGGTCTATGTGACTTGGGCAGACATATGAGCAGACTACATGTGGCCCCGAGTGACCTCTAGCACAGGAAGGACTTGGAGAACAGAGCAGAGACTATAAAGGGGGCTGCATGACCCTATCTGTTCCATGCACGCCCTCAGGCCTCACAATGGTAACCTCAATTTTCAGACAGTTCTCTCTCTTCAGGCCTTTAACTGCACACCTGCACACACAACACACAGAGACATGACACTCACACACTTTTCAGGCATGCTTAAGCCCTGACATAGCAAGTTCCTAAAACTTTCTCCCCTCTACTTCTTTCATCTTCACACTCCTCATCTTTCCAGGTGATGGCCACAACTATGGCCACATTATCTGTATCCCTGCAGCCACCTCAGCAGCCTCTCAGATCCTTTAGGACAGGGACAGTAGTTCTTTGGACACCTGTCCAAATGACCAATGAAGAAGAAACAGTCCTTTCTGGACAGACTGCCTGAGAAAAGGCTTCATGACCAAGGTTTCAGTGAAGACCTGCAGGCCCTACTGGCCTGGCCATCTTCCCAGAAAGATACCCACTGCAGGGAACAGGCTCCCATTAGGCTCATAAAGTAGCTCAGCCAAGTCAAAACACTGCCTCAGGCAGATGGATAGTGGATTGCCAGAGTCCCTGGGATGGTTACATGAGCAGGGTTTGGACAACCTCCAGGGGTCAGGCCAGGGAGAAGACACACGGGTGACCCTGGTGTCCACATGGAGGTGACACAGGCGAGGATGGAAGACAGAAACCAGAGCTGCTAATATAAAAGTACTTCTTCTTACCCTCATGACAACATGGATGCAGACATCCTTCCCACCCCTGCAGCTCTTGGCCCTTCTGTATGAGGAAGACTGAAGAACCAAGGAGACCCCCGGGGCCTCCTGGGCTTCTTCCAAGGAGAAGGGGTCCACAACTAAGACAGCCCAGGCTTAGTGGCACAAGGGTTCTGAGGCAGGACAGGGTCTGGCCCCTGAGCACCGTGTTTCACAAACCATTCACAGAGCAGAGAAGTTTTACTTCCCTTTGTAAATTTCCAATTCACTGTAGCCAGCACCTCTGTGAGTGACAATCACACGCTTGGGATTGTCAGTATCAAGTCATCACAAGTATATGGTCCCATGCACCCAGTCTCTGGGTCTCTTATCCCTGGCATGGACTACCATAGAGGAGCAACTGTACAAAGGAAACAGTACAGTGACCCATTGATTCTGTACAGATAAAGAAATTGAAGTTCAAAGAGGGCCAGTGATGATTCCACCACTGCACTCTCCTGCCCTGTAGCTGGGGGGACAACTCAGGTTCCTGCCTGAGCTATTTGGATTGTGACTGGGAAAACCAGAGCTACCACTTCTAAATGGACACACCACTGCTCTGCCTCTGAGCCTTGTTCATCCCTGGAAAGCTGCCTGATCCATGTGTGGTAACAAGAGTATTGTGATGGCTATTCTTCTGAAATTCTGGTGACCTCTGGAACTAACTAAAACCCAGCAGCTGGGTACACCTGTGAGGGATTTTTCTTAGTTAAATCATTTAAAGTGGAAAGACCCACCTTTAATCCTGATCTTTTGAGGTGGAAAGATCCACCTATAATCTGGGCCATACCTTCTACTGGCAGCCTGTATAAAGGACATGAAGAAGGAAGCTTGCTCTCTTTGCCTGCTTGCCCTTGCTCTCAATGGTGAGTCCATTCCTTCACTGGCATTAGAGTCTACTTCCTCAGGATTCCAACATACAATGAAGACAGCTGAATTGTCCACCCTCATGAACTGAACAACTACTGGATTCTTGGGCTTTCCATTAGTAGATAGCCACTGATGAACTAGCTGGACCACAGCCTGTAAGCCACTCTAATAAATCCCATAAATATATATTCATTCTATCAGTTCCATTCCTCTAGAGAACCCTGATTAATACAAGCACCTTCTATCTCATGGGTGGGAAGATGTGTGTGATACAGATGCAGGTGGACCTCTGTGAGTTTGAAGCCAGGCTGGTCTACAGATCTGCCTATCTCTGCCTTCTAAGGGATAGAATTAAAGGCATGTGCCACCATGTATAACTACAGTTTAATTTATAGTTTAAAAATTCTTTAAAGAATAATGTTGGAAAACTTGCTGTTTTGAAATTATTATGAAACTCTAGTATTCAAGAGAGTGCAAGAAATCAATGAACCCATTCCGAATGTCAGAATTAGACCAGGGAATAAGAATCCAGAGAGAAACAACTAGAGCCATACACCTTCAAAAATAAAAAAGCAGACCCTTTACCTTTACTGTTCTCCCACCACATAAAAAAATTAACGCCGGGCGTTGGTGTTGCACGCCTTCAATCTCAGCACTCGGGAGGCAGAGGCAGGCAGATCCCTGTGAGTTTGAGGCCCTCTAGAACTATGTCTGCTATTTCTCAGGAGCTAAGTCAGTGACAAACATAGAAAAAAAAAAAAATTAACCCAAAGTGGATTATAACCTACATATAAAATCTAAAAGTATAAAATTTCTATACTTCAAAAATAGTTAAAGCTGGATGGCTATATGTAGAAGAATAAAAACAGATCCATATCTATCACCCTGTACAAAACTCCTATCCAATTGCATCAAGGACATCAGCATGAGGCCAGATACCCTGGATCCTACAGAAGGGAGAGAAGGGAATAGGTTTGAACTCGTTAGCACAAGAAAAGACTTTCTGAACATAACATTATTAACAAAAGCACTAAGACCAACAATTAAAAAATGGGACCTCATGAAACTGAGAAGCTTCTGTATGGCAAAGGCACCATCATTCTGGCAAAGGACATCATCATTCAGTCAAAGTGGCAGATTACAGGATGGGAAAAGATTCTTACCAGCTACATGTCCAATAGAGGGCTAATATCTACAATGCATAAAATACTCGAAAAAACTGGACATCAAGAAAACAAATAAATCAATTAAAAAAATAAAAATCTTCTGTAAGCAAAGGACATTATCAGTCAAGCAAAGAGATGGCCGGCAGAATGGAAAAAAGTCTTTATCAGCTGTACACGTGTCAGAGGGTTAGTAGCTAGGAAATCCTGATGGTAAGGCTCTCTTGTTGAAGACACCACATACTTATTAACACAGAGAAATTAAGCTGGTGCCCAACTAGAAGCTTCCCTGCTATTGACTAGTGTTTATAGTACTAGAAGGTGATATGCATAATACCTGAGGAGAAGAGTAATAATCCTCAGTCTCACCCAGCTACAAATCCTGAGGTTATAATAGCAACCTGCTAAAAGCTATATCCACTGGTGCTATAGTGAAATAGAAGTAACTAACTAGCTCTTGATTGGTTATAAAGCCTGCTGCATGAGATGGAACCCATATCTGAGAAGGTAAATGAGGTCAAGACTTGAGACTAGGTAGGTCATGGGCCCTAAGGAAAAATATACAACTATTCTGCTAAATGAGCACAGCAATAAAACAACTCCTAACTTCATATAACTAAACCCATAGATTGATGCATTTCTCAACCCACATCAGAGAAGCTTCTTCTTGGAGTAGATGGTAATTAACACAGAGGCCCAAAACTAGATAATCAAAGAATTAACCACATCCCAGATAGGCTGCATGCTCAGGAATAGTTGGCCAATAAAAAACTGAATCCATGTTTCATTCTATCTTATTTTCTTTTTTTTTCTGCTTGTGCTTTGTTTGTTTTGGTTTTGTATTTTTAAGAGAGAAAAAGAATATGAAATGGAATGGATATGGAGGGGGGATCTGGGGGCTATTGGGGGATGGGAAAGAATGTGACCAAATATATGTGACCATATGTTATATTAAAATTTTTTAATTAAAAAAAGACTCTGTTGAGCCAGGTATGGTAGTTTACACCTGTAATCTTGGAAGGCTGTAGTATGAGAATTGCAAGTTCCAGGCCAGCAGGTCTATTCAGGGAAATCCTACCTCAAAAAACAAAGGAACAGTAGACTGTCAGATATCTTAGTAGGCAAAGGCACTACAGTCAAGGCTCACAACCTGGCTTCAGGACCAACATGGTACAAGGAGAGAACAGACTCTCACAAGTTGTCATCTGACCAACTTACATGTACTGTATGTAGCAGGAGGCCCTGTGGACACACAGAGAAAATAAAATTAAAAATGCAAGAATGTTTTTAAGAGCAACAACAATTTTTTAAAAACCTAAGGAGACAAAAAGCCACAGACTGGGAAAAAATATCTTCACAACACATCACCTGATGAAGGACTGGTCTCTAGAATACAAGGAGGACCCTTACAACTTGATACACAGCAACCCAATAAAAAAGCAGGCAAAGACTTGGAAACTTCATCTCAGAACAAATAGAAAGCTGTTTGCTTAAAAGATGTTCAAACACATGTGATATGGAAGTAGAGGAGGGGAAAATGTGAGTTAACCCTACAGCTGAAGGTACACACACTTTGGCATGGAGGAGTCCAGCTGGAAGACTCTTCACTGAAACCTAGATCTCCTAGTATACAAAGGTTCTGTGCAAGCTGCCAAGGGAAGGAAGCATAAGTAGCCCTTCCCAGGTGTAAAGTCTATGAACCACAATAAAGCCCGATAAGCTATCTCTAGCGGTACAATGGTGGCACTTTTATCTCGGGGATGACAGATAGCTATCTAACTGGACTTACGGCTTACTCAGTAGCAGAGAATTCGTGACAGGTGCTGAAAATCTAGCCAACTACCCATGCGTGGCTGGAGAGGTCACAGCCCCTAGAGGGGAATCTATCACTTCCATTTTTCCCTAAACGGTATAATTTCTTACTGCATTCTAAATTTTTATCTGCATACCCATAAGTTAGTTCTTGCTTCTCATCAAAGAAGCTTCTTTTTGCAGCAGATGGTGACCATTACAGAGAGCATTTATGCATTATGATAAAATGCATAAACAATGGGATGCACAACCCCTCGTGATAAATCTACAACACTACCCCTATACCTAAGGTTCAAGAAAAAACAACAGAAGTGGGGCCAAAAAGATTGTAAGAACCAGAAGACCAGCATTTCAGCTTCAAAATAGTGTCTTCAAGACATGACAAAGGCTCTTGGCAATGGGTAGACCTCTAAGATCTGCCCAGTGAAGGACAGCAGACAGTGTAGACCCCTCCAGCCTTCACGCCTCTCTCCACCCCAGGAGCTGTGGCTTGAACACCCACTCCCTTGGGCTGAAATGAGCTCGGCCTTGAGAGTTCAAAGGAAAGGGGTCGGGATGACCACTGGCTGACCCAGCAACTGCTCACATATCCCACAGTAAATGCCCTGAGTGTCGGATCCTCCTGGAGCAGGGCACACAGACTACTACAGGGAAGAGCTGTATGGGGAGAGAGGAAGGCAGAGATGCTCAGGCGCCCTCAGCATGAAGATGTAAATGAACCCCAAGTAGGGGAAGCCAGCCTCCCCACAGGAGTATCTGAGAAACCTGCAAGGTGTGGTGACCCAATCCTCCCTGCAGAAAGCAACTCACAGCTCCTAATGTGCAGAGAGTTCCTCACTGCAACCACTCTACTTTCATTAGACAAAGGAGCTCACAGGAAAACAAACCAACTTAGATTTTCTTGCTTAGATGTTCTTTCATTGGAGCTCACAGGAAAACAAACAAAAAAACCTTAGATTTCCTTGCTTAGGCATTCTTTCTGGTTGATTTTGTTTTTGTTTTTGTTTTGTTCTGTTTTGTTTTTTTGAATGGGGTAAGGTGGTGACAGATTTCACTGTAACCCAAGCTGGCCCTGATTTCACTACGTAGCACAGGCTTGCCTGGAATTTGCAATCCCTCTGTCTCAACCACTTAGTGTTAGGGTTACAGGTTAGCCACCATGCCCAGCTCTTGATCAGACTTTTCACATAAGGCTGGGGATGGTGCTGAGGGGTGGAGCACTTGCCTGGCATGCATGATGCTCTGAGTTCCAGTTCCAGTGTGAAAATGAGTGAAAGTTCATGCAGGGATGTCTTTGAGCGTCTGACCCTTCCCCAAACATGGTTCTCTCCTTGATCCCTGTCGCCGTCTTTACTAGACTTTCCTGGGCCAGACATATCTGATAATGTCCCAGGTGCTATTCCCACCAAGCCCATGTTGTCACAAGTCCATCCAGCACATGAGATAGAGCCTCAGGCTAGTGCAGAGAGGCAGGGAACACCGGGATGGGAGCCTGTGCCACACAGCAGCCCTCGCCTGGGACATACTCCTTACCTTCTCATAGGGACAGTACTTGATCATCTTGATGGGACTTGTGCAGATGAAGACATCAGTGCTGCCAGGAGAGAAAGGACAATGAGCCGTGCAGCTATCTCCATACCACTGTGCACCGCCCACCTCGGCTAGCTGAGCCCTACCAAGGTCTAAGCCTGTACCTGTCATGGGAAAACCCACTGTTCTACATCTTCCCACATAAGAGGCTACAACTTGAAATTTCTGCCTGATTCAAAGGTCCTGGGAAGCCACAAATGATATGCCCTGGCCACAGGCAACAAACTCTGAGGTGGGCAATTTTGCAGGACTAGATCCAGAAGGCAAGCTGGGTTAATCGCACACTAGTTGAATAAGAAAACGGGAGAGAAAGAAGCATTTGGCAACAGTCACAGCACTGAAAGGATACAGAAGGCTGGGAGCTCAATGGCAGAGAGGTGTCGCAAGGCTTTGGTTTCCTTCTCCAGCTCCAAAAATGGAGGAGGGAGAAAATAAAGGGAAAAAACCCCGCAGAGTCTAAAGACAGTTGAAGGAGAAGCATATCCCCAGCTGGATGAAAGGAAACTATGCTCCATCACCTGGCTGTGGGCTGCACAGGAAGGGAACCAGGCTCCATAAGACAAGTTTTCCAGCTCTGTGGCCTCAAGAGGGACATGGGCTTTGCCCAATAAATGCACTGTCCCAGCTCTGGGCTGCTGACCCTGACCAAGAAGGGCTTCCCAGATTCTTGCTCCTCCCAACATGCACAAGACAGTTCCCCAACCACCAACACCATCCTGTCCCAAACAGTCACAACACTGTGTTCTACCCTGGCACTGGATGGGCTGGCCCATCAAGCCAAACTGTAGGAGTGGTGTTTCTCCAACTCTCTTTGGCAAATTAGTCCCTGGGGAGTTCTGTGGTGGCCTCTGGGGGTTTTGCTTGTACTTGCTCAGTGTTCAGGAAAACATCAGGTGCAAAGAGACAAATTGGTTGGCAGAGTGACGGTATCCGCCCCAGACTCTCTGGAAGCTGCCTCACCGAAGGTCCAACTGTAGGCAGGCTTTTCCTCACACCCCCAAACCTCAGAAGGAAGGAAGACAGGCAAGCTTCCTTCCCTCTTCTTCACTGTTCCTCCCAAAGCCTAACTGCTGAGGCCCAGGCCATACACACAGTCTTCTCCCCACCCCACCCCGCCCCACCCTGCCTTGCTGCTGCCACATGCTGCCTACCCCAGAGGTTAGAATGACTTTGTTCAACTCCTAGTCCCAAGCTTTGCCTGCACTCAGCTCTTCAGCCTCAATACAGCCAGCCTGGTCAATTCTGACTCCTCCATGCCATTCTCCTTCAGCCAAACTAGACCTTTACGTGGGGAGGAGGCACAGGGTATGACATCTCTGCCTGCCTTCTGAGAACATGGGTCTACACAGGCATCATCTGGCTGGAACTGATTATTTTTACACAGTGTTATTGAGATACAGTTGACATGCAAGCCTGCATGTGATACACACATATACATAGAGGTAAATGCACATACACATAAAATATAAAAAGTTTTGAAAACTGCACTTATTAGAAGGGAAATTTTTCATAAGATGTAGGACTTGCACACTACAAAAAGTGGATCACCGTGGTCAAGAATGGAACACACCCTCCCCCACCTGCCCTTGATTAGCCTCCTGACTTAGGAGCCCCAGCAACCACCAAGCTGTTTTCTCCCACCACTCATTAAGGAATCTTCTCATTGCAACAGACAGAAACCATCAAAGAAAACTACAACGGATGCTTGGTTCCGAGCTGGTGGACTGTTTGTTAAAGATGGGGAGGTGTAGTTTTGTTGGAGGAGGTATGTCACTGGGGGTGTCCTGGAGGTTTCAAAAGCCCACACCAGGGCAAATTTCAATCTCTCTGCCTCCATCTTGCAGAAAACATATACGCTCTCAGCTACTGCTCCAGTGCCATGCCTGCCTTCCTGCCTGCCTGCCTGCCTGCTGCCATGCTCCCTACCATGATGGTCATGGACTGACCCTCTGAAACTGTAAGCCAGACCCCAATTAAATACTTTCTCTTATAAGTTAGGTTGATCATGGTGTCTCTTCACAGCAATGGAAATGTAACTATGAT